CGTTTTCCATGAGTCTATAGTTTCCCTGTTTGAACCGGTAACTGGTGCTCACTGAAATCACGTCTGTTTGGGTAGTAAATTATATTATACTGCCAAAGAATAAAGTGTACAATCCTTTTCTTTATCTTGAGGAGGTGCTATTGTGGAGGAACTGCCACTTTTCATTCCATCATTTCATGGTTACCTTAAAGAAAAGTATGTTATATCCAAGACGCGTGCACCGAAGCCAGTCAAAGATAGCCTTGTCTACAGTAAATAACATTAGGTTATGTCCGAGGAAGTGGACCAGCACGAATCTCTAATGGTTCCGTGTTCTTGCATTCTTCATGCTGCTGTGTTCATCTCTTTTTTAATTTTTTTTCTCAGTTTCTTCTGGGCAGGCTCCTCTTTTCTCCTCCTGCTGCTGCTTATGTTATATAGCAGAGAACGTTTACTTCCTTCTCGACCATCTTCCTGGGACTGTACAAGGTACACAAGTCTTTGCCTTCTATCTTCTTCCTTTGCTTCGATTTACACATCACTTAATTAGCACTTTGGGTTTTAAGGTTTTTGTCTTTAGGCTCTATGTTTGATGTTTGATATAGTTAACTTTTGTAAAATTTAGTGTTCCTCCTCTTATATGATGATTAGGTGACCGTTTTGTCAGTTAACAAAAAGCATTTGAAATGCTTCAGAGATCACCAAAAGTTGTCTTTTTAATGTGGGGGTGGGGTCATATCTCTATGTTATCAAATTCTGAGTTGTTTGGCATGTAGATTTTCTGTTTGTTTCGAGTTCAGTTTGGATTTGAGAGATTCAGGAAGAACCAGAGATTTCTTGTGTTTTAGGTTAATCGATTGAAGTTTTTTTTTTACTGGGGTTTTACCTTTTTACAATTTGGTTTTCTAGATTATCATGGATCCTAAATTCACTGAATGTTTTGATTATGTAAATGGTTTCAAAGTTGGGGAGGATACAATCTTGACCAATTCAGGTCAGTACCCGAGCCTTATAATCACAAATGGGGCCAACTCCAATGTTCCCTCTACAGGTCATCGTTTCTTGGATGTCCCATTCATATCCTCAAATTCAGAATCTGCTAGTTTTCCACCATCTGTGTCTATTAGCTCTAATGAGGTCTTGTTGCCTGCATCCACGGGCGGGAGGCTGGAAGGAGACTCTTCCTCTCCCAATGGTGATTATCCCTCAGATCCAATTCTCAAGTACATAAGCCAGGTACTTATGGAAGAGAACATGAAGGATGAGCCCTGGGAGGACCCACTGGCTCTGCGAGACACCGTACAATCATTATATGAAGTGATAGGAGAGCAATATCCTCCTCCAATTAATCATTCCCAACTTTTTATAAACCATAATGTGGAGCGTCCAGAAGGTAACATATCTGCTAGTAGTAGAGATTATGGTAGCAATAGCCATCCTAGTACTAGTCCCGGCGCCAGCACTGGGATTGACAATATGTGGGTTGGTTATATTGGAGATTGTAATCCTTCTCTATTGCAATTTCCTTATCTTCCTAGTGATCACAACTTTCAGCCAAATTCATATGAGCCCCCTTTACAGCTTTTTGTTAACTCAACTAATGCCTTGGGTAACATGGGTACTGTGCCGATCGAATTCGCTGCCAATGAGTTTATGGTTCAGAATATGTTCACTGACATGGAATCCGTCTCGCTGTTCAAGAGAGGATTTGAGGAAGCTAGCAAGTTCCTTCCCAGCAGTAACCAGTTGATTACAAATTGATATTCAAGGAGGGGAAGAATGATATGCAGCAATCACCTGATGGTTCAAGGGGTAGAACGAATCATAGACAAGGAGACAAAGATTTAGAGGAAGGGAAGAGCACCAAGCAGGCAGTAATATATGTGGATGAGAGTGAACTACCTGAGATGTTTGATGAGGTGTTGTTCTGCCTTATTAAGGATGATGATAATGAAACTGTTCAGCATGAAGGAAGCAAAACTTTGCAGATGGATGAACAAGAACAACCCAATGAATCTAATGGTGGGGAAATCTGTGCCAAAAGAATTGATTTGAGGCCACTTTTGATCCTATGTGCACAAGCTGTTTCTTCTTGCGATCACAGGACTGCTGGTGAGCTACTAAAGCAGATAAGGAAGCACTCTTCCCCTTTTGGTGATGGGTTTCAGAGGTTGGCCCATTATTTTGTCAATGGCCTTGAGGCACGCTTAGACAGGAGTGGAACTGGATTTCAAAATTTGATTTCTTCCAGAGAGGTAACAGCTGCTGATGCGTTCAAAGCTTACAAAGTTCACCTTACTTCTTGTCCATTTAGGAAGTTGGCAATTGGATTTGCCATCAAAACATTCTACGATATGGCTGAGAAGGCAAAGGTTCTTCATGTTGTAGACTTTGGTATTGGATATGGTTTCCAGTGGCCACTTCTTTTTGAACTTCTCTCCAAAAGACCTGGTGGGCCTCCCAATCTACGCATTACAGGAATAGAGCTTCCGCAACGCGGCCTAAGACCAGCAGGGAAAATTGTGGAGACCGGTCGTCGCTTGGCAAGATATTGTGAGCACTATAATGTTCCTTTTGAGTTCAATTCCTTAGCAGTGCAGAACTGGGAAACTATCCGAGTGGAGGACCTCAAGATTGATAAGAATGAGATGCTTGCAGTGAA